TTAATATTAAAATGGGTCTTTTGATTTTGGTACTTAAAACTGAGAAGCTGACAAGGGATTGAATGAATTATTTCATCAGTGAGTGAAGAGGGATTTTGCATGGTCGATTCTTAAATAGAAATGCTTATTTCTTTAATTAAAAAAGCACAAAAAACTGGGCTTTTGTATTGTTTCTTCACATTTAAAGTCTGGGTTCGAGTTCTCGGGTTCGAGTCTTTGTGAATGCAGAAAATCCTTGTTAGGAGACTCACCCACCACTGCCAGGTGTGCGACTCGGGTCGACCACCGAATTAGTTGGAGCATAGCTCCGAATAAAAAAAAAAAAAAAAAAAAAACTTTCCGACCACGCGTAGGTATGTACTAAAACATACTACTTTTTGGTGGGTTAGGGAGTTTACACGAGAGTCCGAGAAGAAATGCCAACACAAATATTTTCTGAATAAAGCAAATCCCATTTGGAAATTTGCTAGTGTGAGTTGGCAGGTTTCACCAAAACAAAAAGATCTGTGTAGAAGAAAGTATATTTAGATTATACAATTTTGCTATAGAGCCATCGACTCGATTTATAGAGTCCTCAATAGTTATTCACAAATAGTGTATTGACACATACTCTACAATAAATACACTTTGAACATGTGTTAATTCATTAACTGATTGATGACTCCGTAAGAAAATATCTGATGGCGCCATAGAATATTTGTTAGACGGTTATATTATAATCGCATTATCCAATTTCCTTTTAAATGAGCAAGTCATCTCAACAGCGTATATCCAAACACATAATTACAACATGCTAAATAGTCGAAAAGGGGGGCCTACCAAATGTAGCCTAAATTCTACAAGACAACACTACAAACCCACAAAGACCTCCCAACGAAAGAATACAAACTCCCCAACGGAAGAATACACATTCTCCAACGGGATAATAGACACTCCAAAAGTGGATAAAAAAAAATACAGACACACACTTACGACAGAACACAAACAAAACATCAAAAACACAAAGATAACTAGAATAAAACCAATCCCACAACAGCGAATCCAAACCGAACAAAATGACGTCGACACCTACGGGCAGCCACCCGCATGGACAGAGACCCGGTCCAAGTCACGAAGCCAGAAACTGTAGAATCAACGCCTAACTAGAATCGAGACGACAACCCATGTCCTATCCGGATGGACAACCCCTAGACCCGCGACCAGAGATCAACAAAACAAGCTCCACCATCCCAACTCCGACGACCCAGGCCCATGACACAAGATCCGACCCCAACTCGACTCTGCTGATACAACCAAAAGGCCCAAAAGCAGAGGAATTGGAAGAAGGAATGACACCAAAACGGCTCGATCTCAGCCCGACTAC